AATTGATTCTGTTTCAGCAGCAAGCAGGAGAATTTTATTAACGATGTTGAAGTAGCAGTTGTTGATGCACGTTATTAAGTGAAGATAGCATTTTCCCCTTTAAGGATGTGCGTTAGTAAGCAACAACGAATGAAAGTGAGTGGCATTTGTTGTTGGTGCTGGTGTTGTTATTAGTAGAACTACAGTAATTTCCTTCTCCAGAAAAACAACTATATTGATCTTTGATTATAAACTTTTTCAGTCCTCTGTAACACGTACCGACACTATTAAAAATCTGGGAATATTTATTGACTCCAAACTCCGATTTACAGCACACTAATAATAAGGAATTGAATTATCATCATCACCATCATCAGTGTTTGCATCATTGGCTCCTCGCTGTTGGCAAACACTTTACTAAATGAATTGAATTATTATTGTTATTATTGATTACGTCATTACTTTTATTTATTGTTCGTAAGGAACATTTATAACGGTTTTATATTCTTCCATTTCCTTGTAGAAAATATTGGTATTAAAATGTTAACCAAAATTAAAAATACTTGAATAACTTCTACACTCTGTTTATACATAGCAAATGTCCTTTATTCATTGCGAGTTTGCTGCCAATAAGGTTTAAATTCGGACTAATATTAAAGTGATTGGCAAATATATTTTAAAAAAATATTTTTAAATATTTTTTAATAATTTTTTTAATTTTCTTACTTCATGTATGTACAGTTCTTCTTTGTGATATCTCTGTAACTGGCTCCTATAGCTGTTTACTTAGCACGTTGAAAGAGGGAATTGAATTACCACCATCATCATTAATCTGATTGTAAACATAATGACATAGTCTATTGCTGCTCTTTTATACGCCTTTACATTATAGACTGCACATACCTTCTTAAAATATTGTGATTTCGCATTACTAAATTATTATTACAAATATACTAATGTGTTTAGTTTCCTTTGTAATTATCTTAGTTATTCGTCCTACAAATCCAAGCACATTATCTTAATATCATCGCTTTTTCTCCATAATGTGATATTTGTCTTATATGGTGAACGTTTGTTTCATTTCATCTTGTCACTAAACCTAATAGTCTTAACTTACCGAAGCGTCTTTCTATCCCTCACATAAAACGTTCACCTTCATGAATTCATTGCCTTAGCTATATAAGAAGACGATAAGTAATTTTCCCCATTCCTGAGGAGTTTCACTCTCATAGAACCAAGTAATTTTCAGATATAAATTCTTGACTGGGTGTATGTGTACGATCTATGATTCTTATTCCAAGAACTTTTGTTCGTCCTAATACGATCTTTTATTTTAGATGTTAACAAAGCATTTTCTGACAACCTGTGTTTTAAAAAAACCAGAAAAAAATTATATATTGTGTGTCATTACCTCACAATGCTTCCGAATTACTTTTCTTCATAAATATTTATGTTTGCATGAGCTACGTAAGTGAGCTGGGACGTTAACTGTCCCACTTGAGTTACATTTTAAAGGAACATTTATTTCTAAAATGTTCGTGTCTTCGGTGACTATAGTAAAGCACATTAGAACACCACCATCCTAAAATGGGACTAAACATCAGACAGAGTAGAAAGTCACAGAAATACATAGAAATGATAATCGGTCGATAGCGTTGATGAAGGAAAAGAGACCGGTTGGAAGAAATAAAGAACGGACATAATCTCTGTAGAACAAGAATACGAAGGAATGGACGATAAAAGGGAGAAGATATATAATACAGAAGTTGGAAAATAATCTCTTAGATAAAGAGAAAGAGACGTAGGTGCTACAGAAAGGCAGCAGAATCCCAAGAGTCGTTGAATGTGGAAAGAGTATAAAGAGAACAGGCGATGGGTGAAAATCGAGTTCAGAATCTCTTTCTGTATTTCATTCTGCCCTCTTCTTTCCATCGTGTCCCCTTTTAAAGAGAAAGCAGGAGAAAAGAAGCAAGACCAGCAGAACTAAACTGGAAGAATCACGTTCCGTTTTCGAGACAAGCGAATTTCTACACGTCACGTACAGTCTGGACCAAAAGACTGATCGAACACGTAGCTGCCAGCTCTACTGACCAACACGTATGTAGTAAACACACGCACAGTGGACCCTGTATGTGCGAATCAGTAATTTAATCACAGCCTACAGCATGGTCCAGACATAGGACTGGACTTCACAATGCAAATTTCTTTCGCTAGTGGTAGAACGCATACAAAGAGAGCTGAGCCCTTGTAGTTATTCGACGTTATTAAATTTGTGTTTAAATTAGTAACATAAAGAAAAAAGTAAGCTTGTACGAGAGATAGGAACCACCGAAATCTAAAAGAAGAAAATAGTAGTAACATAAAGAAAAAAGTAAGCTTGAACGAGAGATAGGAACCACCGAAATCTAGAAGAATAAAATAGAAAAAAATTCTCTCTGTTGTGATAAGGGAGGGCAAAAGAAATGTTTCTCACACTTGAGTTATCTTCAGCAAGATGGTATTTCTTACATTCCGTAATACACGAATTATAAGTCGGAAAGTTACAACGTAGGTGTTGGAAAAATAACAGTGCAGGAATTGCAGGCGAGAGAAAAGTAGAAGGTACAGTTGATTTTCATTCAGGAAATTGTAGAACAATGAACAATGCATGTTTAAAAATCCGATTACTTGTCGTTACTTTAACATCGTAGAACTTTAAAAAGTAAATACAAATTTTAAAGGCATAATATATGGATAACACTGATGATGGGTACTGAAGGCCAAAATATGGGTTTAAAATGACACACCAATATATATATATATATTCTGATTTTTTACATGTGATATATTCTTTGTAATGCCATGTGTTATCCACTGACGATACATGTCCACCTTCCAAATCAAAATTTATACTTGAACCAAAGTAGTATTTAGACGCCTTCTTAAACCGTTGCACGTGTTCATTGTACTGCTGCTATATTTCTGAAATATTCCCATCCTTGTTAAATGTTTACACTTGACTGCTTCGAATGCACAGTTAAGGTTAACAATTAAAACGCAGCAGAACTTCCTTCTGTGCGAAAATAATTTTTTAACGAATACTAGAAGAGGAAGGCATAATTAAAAGAGTTGGTATGACGTAATTTTGACAGACTGAAAAGCAGACAAGAAAACTTTAAAAAAGATTCACTTTCAGGAGGTAACAGTAAAGACTTAAGCTATCAGGCAGAGAGTTCCGCACGGCCTATATTTTTAATAGTCTGTGTGAGAACAATCGAGCCAAAAAATTAAAGCTTCCGTTTAGGGTTTGATAAAAGTAGAACAGGAGTTTTCAGAGCAGTTTTAGTACTTCACATCGTCCACCTATTTAATTTGTTACCTAATGAGGGAGTAATTTTGTCTTACATCATGCCACAATGTTATAGTTAAGAAGGCATATTGATTTATAGCCGTCATTGCGTAATATTAAATGTTTAAAACAGAATTCAAGTAATTTAATTGTTCCCTCTTGAGTTGAGTGTACGAATTACTGTATTTTTAATGATGATGTCTTATCTTCTGGGTTGTAGCGCTGTGTAGTCTGGTTTGCCAACGATTCAAAGGTCCTTTCTGCTTCCGCCATCAGTGCGATAAGTATTAACCAGCCTGATTGTGGAGGTAGGAAGGACCACTGTAACGTTTGTAAACTTCTGCCAGGCTACACCCAGAAGATAAGACATTTTCGTACTCACTGCCGTGAGAATCTCAAATGTAAATTATTCATCATCATGTTTAGAAGAATCCAACATTAGCATATATCCTTCGCCATCACAATCTAGTTTATGATACAATCGAAAAGTGTGAGACCTTTAAATAGGCCGCTATGGCTTCTTTACCCATATACAGGATGGGTGAGAAGTAAGTAGGCATTAAATAATCGCTATACATTGGAAATATAGAGGTTATAACCATTTCTCAATGCCTACTTACTTCCCACCCACCTGTATAACAGGCCTACTGTCTGAGTGTCAGTGTATTATCGTTGATCAGACCGTAACTTTAAGTTAGCACATTGTGTCTCAGTAACCTTCGAAACTAATAAACAAGAATGAAGTAGTGGTAATATAGTGTTGGTGCGTTTTTCTGTTTTTATCAGTATAGAGTCTGACAAAGAGTAATAAACTATGAGATTAAACAGATTAACGCCCTTAAAACAAGATAGTGCACTCATCACCCTGATGATAGAGGCAGCAAGGACCTCTGAAGCATTGACAAATTTCTACCAGACTACACGGCGCTACAACCCAAAAAAAACAGACTTCTATGATAAATCATGACTTTGCCTTAATTTTGCAGGGATGTTAAGCTCTATCTCTAAGGACGTACGAGTAATTTTAATTTTTAGGCAAGGCTGTTAAGGAGGCAGGACGTAACACGAGGTTGAATGAAGCTACATAACGAGGAACTTCATAATTTACACTCCGCCAAATACTTTTAGGATGCGATAGCGGTCCATAATGGAGAGATGAGAAATTTGCATATCATCACAGTTGGTACAACTGAAGGGAAGCTTACGTTTTGAAGAAGGTTATAGAACAGCCTAATAATAAGAAGGTATTAAAGGACGTGTGTGAGAATATTGATTGGATTTGAGTGGATCAAGATAAGAGTTTAGTGATAGGATTTTGTAAACAGTTTAATGAAACTTCTGGTTTGTGACAGGCAGCTCGTTTCTTTCACATCTGTGCATTGTTAGCTTCTCAAGAACTATTCTGTTCACTGAATTTGGCTTAGTTACTATTGGTTGTTGAGTTGGGATGTTGAAATAAAGAACTGAATTGTCAATAATAAATCAACCTTATTATTATAATTTATAGCCCGTGAAAATGTTTACCTAGACTGATTTTCTTTTCTGGACTTTGTTTCCGGTTTACGTAATGAGAAGTGTGTGCCTGGTTTGCTAATAGAGAGAAAATAATTTACTCACCTCTTTAATAAATAAACGTGATGCAAGGGTTGTAAAAATAAATGCATTTAAGATAATATTTCGGCGTCAGTATAATCCTTGAGGTAGCAATTTGATTTTGTACTACTCTTTGTTTAGAATGAAAGCATCAGTGAGACCAGTTTAATTGAATTCAGTGTGAACACACATATATTTGAACAGTTAAACGTCTCGCTTTGCCTTCTTCCTTAAATGTTTGCAGATCCGCCACTGGTGACGCTGCAGTTAGGCAACGAGCTCAACCCTGACACCATCAAGGAAAACGATGACGTATACTTTGAGTGTAACATCCGAGCCAACCCTAAGGAGTACAAAATCACATGGTTCCACAATGTGAGTACACACATTCTTCCTTGTTACGAAGTAATGTAAATACCTTGCAGTAATAAACTTTAAGACTTCACATTCGTTCCGTACATTCAACAGAACACTCATTGCCCTTTAGGAAGTCATTATTCCTTGGCCGGAAATACAAACGAAACTATTTCATCAAAGTTCTTGTCTCCTGGAAGTTACAACGGGCAATATGCATGGTTAGGACTGTACTGTGAAGTCATAAGGTTGTGATGCATAAGGAGTCGTAAAATATATTTTCCCACGTATTTCGTATATTTATTCAGTTTTAAACCGTATTTTCCACTTGTATCCATCTCATTTGCTTTCCATGATCCTAGAAGTTATATTTGGAACATTAATTTAGCAGCATCAGTTTTTTGTATCGTGAAATACCATTTTTTTAGATAACAACGTAGAATGTATTACAGAGTAGAAGACGGAAGTGTCATTAAAATATCTGTACGTAAAATAATTACATGAAGCTCCGAATAAAGAGTTTTACCGCAACAGATAGTGTTAATAAAGTTAAATAATTGTGAATAGTGAAGCAAAATATTCGCAATTTTGACAATGTATCTTCCATACCTGTCAACGTGGAATGCTGAGATGGAGATGCGAACATAAATTCAAATCCATTTTAGAGTAACGTACTAAAAGGTTATGAATTTAATCGAACTGCCTTGAAATCGGTCCCGGCGGTGGATTTACGATTGTATGTTGAGATTTCTTGTTAGATAATATAAGTTTAGATAGTTTACTAAACTGAAGATGTGGAAATGATACGTGCCTGAATACCTGTTTCAAATAATAAGACGATATTTTAAATTATTTTACATACATTTTACTTACAATATAATCGAATTGTTTTGTATAAATCGAATCCATCAAACTTTATCGATTTTGAAATAGATGTATTATTGTTTTCGTATAGATACTAGGTTGTTTTAAATTTACATTCCTGGGAACCACACGTCCACATAAAACAGTGTTCCATATTGACGAATTAATTATTCTTAGAGTGTCATGCACCGCTAAAATTGTTGACACTTGGTTAAATGTCATACAAAATATTATTAGAGTTAAGTTCTCTTCAAATTAAAGGTTATAATAATATAATGTTTCTTATAATCGCATCATTATTTATGAATGTTAATACTAAACATGTCCCTGGGTATAATAAGGGTTAGGAGAGGTAATAATCTTTACCATTATGAAATATGACAAGGAATATATGTTCGGGTCGCACTAAAACTATTTAAAATAGTTTTTGTTGATTTCCTTCTTTTCTCTTCGTGAATTTTGGAAGAGAATTTAACAGAAAGTCGTTAAATAACAGAAACATGAAGAGTCAGTGTATTACCCACATATTATGTAGTTGTTTGTACGTGTTCTTATACGAATTGGATTCTATATAGTACAAATTTCTATCAGTAGTTACGACATTGAACGAGACATAATAATCTTATTTGACATACACAGTAAAGAACTTGGCAGTACATCAATTCATTTTGTGGCATCAAAAGCAGAAGAAGACATATCCAGGAAGCTATATATCTCCTTCAAATTTATGAGAAAGTACAAGATAGAAACACATATATTGAAAGTAAAATGTGGCCGACTGTGGCCTATTTCAAAACCGAGATCTCGTTTTAGAGTCGACTTTCACATAAAACGCATCCCAAGGGAAGAGATATCAGTTTCAATAACGTTTATCCCAGAAACTTATCTTTAAACTCGGTGTACCCATCGCACAGTCTAGGCCTTGTCATCTCTGTCTTCCTCATGTTAGCTTTCGGGACAGTTGGGTTATGTCAGAATGAGGGTGGAGAGACGTATGAGGTTGAAAGGACCAGTGTCTGTAGCCTTGAAGCCCTCGTAACTGCGTTTTGAACATTGAGTCGTAAGGACGTAATGGCAGCAAGAAAGTTATGGGAGTGAAAGCAGAATATGTAAATTCATCTATGTATGTGAACTCATCCTTTAGGGATTCATCTTACACTCTCCCTTTCCATCCACATTCGCGCATCGAATCAGTGCATGAATTGTCTTCATTCAGCTTTATGTCCTAAAACGTTGAATATCAAGTATGCCTTATAGATCTACCGACTACATTTGTTGTTCCTTATGTACCTACTACCTACCTAACAGTTCGCATTAATAGGAAGTCAGAGTAAAATACTTAATGACTCATAGAATTGTGATAATGGCTAAAGCGTGACACATTGCATGAAACAAATTGCATTTTACGCCCTTACAAGCTAAACAGAAGTTTACAGTCTCGTTTTATATTACGTACACAAAGTAACCAGAGCAAAGAAACGTTTATTTTATTTATTTCTTAAAGTGTAGAAAGTCTGGGTGATAACACTTTGTCCCATTGTTTTGGTACTATTTCAGATTTGTAGTTAACATATGAAAAATCACACAATTTTACTTTAATTTGTATTACGCATATACAAAATATAAAGTAAGCGGAATAAAGAAAAAATATATTCGGACATACAAAATATAAAGCTAATGGAGTAAAGAGAAATATATTCAGACTGCCACAGTCTATAGTAGCATTTTAACCAAGAAATATATATATATATATATATATATATATATATAGTATGAAAGTGTTTTTGTCTAGGCCTGTGTGTTTGTTGTTGTTTTAACAAGTAAAGCGTTGCAACAAAACTTAATACGCGTTCTAACTGTTGACCGTAACGCACAGGAAATTCTCCATTTGCGAGAATGAGTTAGCGAATATAGTTTGATGTGTTCAATAATTAAATTAATGCAGAAGAATATTTCTTGGGAAGATACAGGTTCTATGAGCTAGTCAAAAAATTCACCGCCTTGTATGTAACACGTGTTCGCAAGAGCCGGCTACTAGACACTATGTGGAGCCAGACTAATATTCCTGGAATGTCAGTACCAAATGTTATGAGCTGAGTGGAACAATTTTGTAACCAATAAAATAAAACATTTCCCTTTTTAAGTGTTCCTATGTATGAAGATTGCCGTCTTCTGGGCTTTAGCGCCTTGCAGTCTACTTGAAGTTGCTTCTACTAGAATGCACGACGCTACAACCCACAATAAAGCCATCTTCGTTCTCGTTGCTGTGTGAAACTCAAATCCAACTTTGTTCCAAACCAATTTTTACATAAGTGCAATTTTCAATAAAATATAAAAAATTGTAATGGTGTAAGGCCGGTCTATTTCATTGAAATTTGCCACGATTTTGAGTAAATGCGAATCCTGTGACATTAGCTATTGTGTGAACAAGGCCATTTAGGGCTGTGATAGAAGCTACAGAAATAGCAAGTTATTTTCTGTGCCATTTTAAATCACTCGCCAGTATTTTATCAAAGAGATGAAGCTTCCAGCAACGTAGCAATATAACAAAAACTCGAATGATGCAGAAAATCAGAAAATGTTTCTCCCATGAAAATGTAGGAAAAGAGAAAAAGTGCAAAGCTTCCTGTGTTTTGAAATATGTTACTACGACCTAACCTAACCACTGCCACACAGAGAGGAGAGAGCACTTTTTGGCCTTTCCCAACAGATGGGTTGAACGAAACAATAACTGGAGCACGCTCTCAGTATACCATATTTTTTTGAAAATAAACCTTATATTCCCCAACAAAATTAACCAGAGATTTATTGTCAATGGCCATGGTTTCCTCACCTGCGACATCTACAAAACTGCACGGCTTTGGAAGAGCACACTCGATATATTCACCGCCTTGAGAACTTCTCATACCACATAATGATGGACTGATAACTTTGTTGCTAAAAGACACTGCTTCAGCTGCAGAAAATTCTTAAAGTTTTGCGTTTGCTGTTATTGAAAAATGTTTTAACAGAGAATATACGTATATAAATAAAGTCTGCCTCAGCATATTTCGACGTATTCATTATTACTAGTTACATCCTAAAGAAAAGAGTGTAACTTTAACGCTACGTGAACCTTCTCGGAGTATTATAGTTACTTTTGCCTCTTCCAGAATGCGACAGTAACGCAGAACATGTCGTCGGGCGTGATACTGAGCACGCACAGTCTTGTGCTGCAGGGAGTGTCGCGCCACGATGGTGGTCGCTACACATGCCTTGCTGCCAACTCGAAAGGGGAGACGGCCAGCAAAGCAGTGAACCTCAGGGTGCAATGTAAGTACACAGTAGCAGTCTTATAATACTATTATGTACATATTTTACTTCAATCTTGTCATAAAGCAATGTATTTAACGGTGTCGGAGTACTCTAAATGGTTCAGTTGAAGAAAATAAAAATGCGAGAAAGAATGTTTTTTATTGTCGGGTTATTTTGCAGAAAATTCGTATATATGCACATCGCAGTTCTCGGTGTTTCTGTTTTAGAAAGAAATTGTAGCATTGTGAAGTCACAGTAGCACTCTGTACTTTAGTAAATAAATTATATTTGAAACGTAGTCTAAATGATCATAGGAGACAGGCGAAAGGGATTTCACGAAAGAGACACACAGAAAAACATCACTGATTCGAAACGGGCTTGAGCGTTCTGATTTTCAGTGATGCGGTTCTTGGAGTGAAAACATTACTGAATCACTGCCCAGAAAACATTTCAGGATGATGGAATTCCGTAGTTCCATACTTAACCTTTTTGATTTCTAACCCTCTTTGGAATTATAACCGTGAAAAATTAAAAGGAATACGAAATATATAGTTTTGAATGGTTTGGCATGTCGCTGGTGGTTTTACGTTAAAACAGAATGTTTAACGTAAAAACGTGACTAATATTCATGGTTTTACGTTAAAACAGAATGTTTAAGGTAAAAACATGACTAATATTCCGTTCATCTTAATCTTGTAAGTAGACTTTACTTTGTTGTTACCGCTGACAAAATGTGGCATCGACTTCAAAGTTAATTATCTTCTTCTGGTTTGGAAGTCTGTTGAACTGTAGCTTACATGCATGTAGATAAGATCGATTACGACTTATCAGACTGTATGGTAATAGTGCGAATGTGTCATTGAGAATGTACAAAGCTTCATGATTACAGTCATAACACAATCGCATGTATTAAAATGAAGGAATTTCTAACTGACCTAACTAACTAACCAACCAACCAACTGGCTATAGTAGTACTGAAGTGAAGGGTATTTTCAAATGTAGATAGTTACTGAACTGTTGACCATGAGCTGACCTGGATGCAGATAGATGAGGATAGTTCGGTGACGGGCTTTTCTAAGCACGGTGATGAACTTTCGGGTTCCATAAAGACAGTGGACCATTCTTTGACAATTCGAGTATACAATCGACTTTTCGAAGCATTTCGTTCACCATAGAGTGAGAGTGTAAGATAGTTACTAAATCTGGTCAAGAAATTTCCGGTCATTATAAAGAAGCCGAAGGTTCATCGTCTGTAGACGACGTGTTTTATGAAAACCAATTTGCCTTTCACTTTACGCCTACCTTTCTCTCCCATGACTTCACACTGTAGAGTTACAACATTCATCACATTATTCTACAGCACCATCATCCCATAAATAAACGAAGACAGGAATTTCTAAAAGATTATATCACAAAAATGTAGGTAAAATAAAATACCACTTGTAGATACAGGCTTTGGATTTGGAACAGTCTAATTAGACATTTCCTATAATTTGAATTATAATCCATCAACGGGTTCAAAATTATCGAGAGAAAATAATGCTGGGTATGATGATACCGTTGGTTGAGCCTTTTATTTTTCTTATTTTATTCGACATGAGACGCAGTTTTCGTTTCAGGAATTCACTTTCAGCACATAGTCATGAAAAGTATTGATGTGAGCTTATTTAAATGTGATGCAGAAGAAGGCTCACTGATATTCCTCTTCCTACACTAGTTGCGGATTTTACCAATATCTTCCGCATGAAAAGCAACGTTTCAAACATTTCGCTGAAGCGAATCCACGACAAATTTTACAAATGACGTATGGCACAGGAATAATTTTCTCAAGGCGTAGTTTGAAAGTTATCGTAGATGTCCTCAGTATATGACAATTTAGGTTTCCGTGCTTTGTTATTCTGATATGCAAAGACATAATTCTTTTGACAGATTTTGAATGGTTGAGGTTTATGTTTAAATGTTGACAAAAATGTCACTTATGAATATTTTTAATGATACACACAGTGTGTCTGAATTGCGTAACTTCTTTCATTTATTCTCTCATGTGCAGTTTAACATATCTTCGGCACCAATTATTACAAGAAATCGAATCGATGTCAGTAAATAACCTTCGAACCAGAAGAATGAATTAAAATCTACGTTATTCTTCTGTTACAAGAGCTAAGCGCTTTGCCTGTTACGATTCATAATTACCGCTGGAAATATTAATTTTTTATATTGTGTACACTCCTTGGATGGGGGATCTGCTCATCGCGAGAATTCTGCTGCACAAGAAAACAGTATAGAATAACGCAAAAATATGCATGCCCGGAACTGGATTCAAAGCAGTGATCCGACCCCCATCTAGTGCCGAGGTCAAGGAAGAGAGGAGCTATACCTCCTCTCACCCCAAACGCCTACATGGCGTATAGTGGGACAAACTTTACTTTACTTTTTACATTGCCCTATGGCAAACATAATAATCATTTTATGAAATTCATGATGGTATGAAACATTATGTTAGGAAGAATGAAACAAAAATCTTGATACTTTTCTTATCCATGATTGAACATCATACGCATTGCAAAATGATGCGTTAGATTTATGATAAATTGTATCCGCTATTCCCAGCTTAGGCTCAATAAATTAATATGTACTTCCACAGTTAATGTTCTGTATCTTACAACTCCATGATGAAATAATGCAGGAAATATTCCAAAGTTAAAATATGCAGTGCACTATAGAAAATTCTGTCACGTGATTAATAATTTCTCGGGAGGGAGAGTGTTTTGTGGATTTAATTCAATTTACGTATGTCAAAAATTTTCACTGCACCTGGTATTCTGTTAACATTCAAACTTAGAAATAAGTCCATACATTTTTCATGATCCTTTCAGTAAGAAAACTTGTCTATGTTCAGTCATATGGAAAACAAACAGTAGGGGGCCTCGAATATGTTGTAGCTATTCAAACACTGCTGTGACTGCTAAGCTGCAATTCAAGTTTATCAGTCGGATATTTCATGTAAAAGAACACTTTTGCCGGTAAAACGATATGCAGAACTTTCGCAAAGGCGCACATATGATTCGAGACCTCGGTTTCTTGATTTATTGATGAATTACTTAAAGACGCTGTATGGGCCAGAAAAATTATTTGCCGTCGATCGAGTTCAGAAAATTCACAAATGCTGGAACCTGGAAGACGTGGAAAGGGGGGAATTGTTTAAGACACCCTGAGTGAGGTTTCATTCCATTGCTAGACATAGCCTGTTCGTTTAGAAAGAGAAAACTTTAACATAGGCAGTTTCCTTTATATCGTTTTTCAATTTTTTCAAAATTTTCGAAAAATCAAAAATTGAAGGATAATACCCAAAACGCGCACAAAACTCAAAATTTTTGAAAACTTTCAACCTGTAAATATTGCAGCATTCTTTGATTTTTTTGAAAATTTTGTCAAATTTGAATCTATTTTTCTAAATTAGACATAACCCATACTTATCAGAACTAGTCTGCCGGACCTGGTCTCTGCCACTGTCTAATTCACCCAGTCTCAGCCTGACTCGGTCTGTGCCTCAACAGGTGTCTGCTCTACACGGTGTGTGATTTACCAGGTCTCAGCTTTACTCGGTCTCTGATTCACAAGGTCCGTGAGCGGCACGGTCTGCGCCTCACCGGAATCTTCTTGATATGGTGTGAGCTGCACAGTTCATCTGCTTGACTCGGTCTCTGTCTCACCCGGTCTCTGCTTGCCATTTTCTTTGACTCACCCGGTGTTTGCTTGACTCTGTCAGTGTCACACTTGTCTCTGCTTCGGTCTGCGCCTCACCAGGTCTCTGTCGAAACAGGTCTTTGCAAAGACGGCCTGGCAGATATCGGGTAGAGAGAGAAGGATTCGAGCAGTCACCGAGCCGGCAGAGAAAGCGTCCGTCATATACAGAGTGCATTAGAGACCGGGTCATGCAGAGACCCGTTCTGGCATGGATGGTGGAAGAAATTCGAAAAATAAAATATAAATTTTTTCAAAATTTTAAGAAAATTTTTGGTTTTGTGCGCTTTTCAGGCAATTTATGTTTTTTTGATTTTTCGAAAATTTCGACATTTTTTCTAAGCTTTATATACACCATCACTATCAGAACTGTTCTCTCCTGTCCCCGGTCTCTTCCAGACTGTATCAGCCTCACACAGTTTCAACCACATTCGCTCTTTGCTTCTCCCAGCTCTGATGTCAGTGTCTGTGCTTCACCCAAACTCTGCGATCCCGGAATGTGCCACGCAGTGTCTCTGCTTGATGCGGTCTCTGTCTCATACGAGATCTGCTTCACTCGTTCTGTCTCACCGTATGTCGAACCAGGTCTGAGCCTCACCCGCCTGTGTCGACAGTGTCTGTACTTCACACAACCTGTGATTGAAACAGCATGTGTCAAACAGGGATTCTCCTTGACGCGCTCTGTCCTTCACCCGGTCTCTGCTTGACTCGGTCTCTGCCTCACACGTTCAGTGCTTCACCGTGCGTCGAAATAGGTCATTGCAGCGAGGCCCTGTTCGATGTCGGGGCACAGTATGACCGATTCGTACATTGAGAGAGTTCGGCAGAGGCCGGGACGTCAATGCCTCAACCGGTCTCCGCCGGAAGCGTTGCTTGCAACGACGGCGCGTAAGGAACATGGCCATACAGAGACCGGATGATTTAGACACTGTGTACACCAGAGCCCCTGTCAGTCAATGAGAGGGTTCGTCAGGGACAGGCCACGCCAGAAAACGTCTCTGGCAGGTACCGGGTGGGCAGAATTTTGAGGCAAATTTTCAAACTTTTCAAAAAATCTAAAAATGCTCGAAATCTTCCAAATGGCGCACAAAACAAAAAAATTGAAAATCTTCACTTCAAATTTTTTTTAAAACTTTTAGAAAATTTTGGGTTTTGTGCGCGTTTTGGACAATTTCCACCATTTTTTTAATTTTTCGAAAATTTTCAAAAATTCTCAAAATTCTCCACACCCGAACTTCACTAGAACAGCTTTCTGCTAGAACTCGTCTCCACCACAGCAGGTCCCTGCATGACTCGTTGACATCCGCACCAGCTCAATGCATTACACAATATCGTCCTCACAAGGTCTCGGCCGGACGCGTTCTCTGCCTCGCAGTCTCTCTGGCGGACGTCTATACCTCACCCGGTCT